AATGTTGTTGTCTTGCAAGCAAATGCAGGAGTCAGAGACATCATTCGAAAATTCATCCAGAGTATTTCCACACTCGAAAACAAGACCTCTGATTGGATAATTAAGAATATCACGGATTTTCACACCCCTACTTGTGGTTATCTTCCTAGTGGGAGCCATTTCAATGGGGAATGGCACAGCTGAGTAATAGACCTGTCGGCTGTCATCATAGTAATTATACAATTTCTGTTGAGATGCAAACAACTTGAACCAATTATTTACTTCATGGCAAACAAAGAGAAAGGACAGATAAAAACCTGGAAATGGGTGGTTGATGGTTGCAAATGCACCCAAGCTATTGTAACCCAAGCGGAAGTAGGGATTTTTTGCTCCGGCAGCCATGTAGAGGGCAAGCAAGAAGCTGTCCCGGTCAATCCTTTGAGGTAAGCATTCAAGAATCTGAGGAATTAGAAGGATATGTCTATATTCAACAGGACTGACCTATATATTTATACAAACCATACCAAAAGTTAACAGCCTGCCTACTACAAGTTTCACCAAAACACCTTCGAATAAGATAAAACCAAAGGAACAGAAACGTACATTGATGGCGACAACGCTAGTAGAATGCTGGATATGAATAGGTGCATTTGGAAAGAACTGGACTTCATTATCCATGCTTGGTTCAAATTGAAAGAGGACTTCCTCTGGCCCAACCTCAGTGAAGTTGAACTTATTTTCATCAAAGGGCTACGAGACCTTAGCAACTCAAAACTCAGTTGGCCTCTTCTTGAGGTGCCTGCCTTCATTCAGTTGTGCGATAAAGCCATATTGACCCAGAATCACCTAAGAAAAGCATCCGCATACAATTAAACGCAACAAAGACAAATAAAGCAACTATAGAATTTTTAACCGCAACAAAGACACACAAAGAAACTACAGTAAATGTTTGTTTCCACTGATACGCCAGAATTGCAGAGAAATTAAGAGGGAAAGTGACGAAAAAAGACACCTTGGTTTCGCAAGTGGTGACATCATAGCGAAAGAGGCTTCTCTGCATCCGATCCTCCCACTACCATGAAATAACAGTAATTTTAGCTTAATTGTACGAATTTGGGTTTAAAAAGTGGTTAAAAAAACTCATGTATGAAGTAAATTTCCAAATTCTTTACCTCCCCAAGAAGAAGGAAGCCAAGGAAGGGAACCGGAGGCTCTTTGTTTTCAGAGCCGGCTGATTTCTTTTCAACTTCAATCTTGTTCATCTTCTTGAAAGCATACATAGGCAGCTTTACCCCTAATTCAATCAAAATACAAGCACATTGATAACCCAATTTTGTAATAAAAAATTCCCAATTTTTCTTCTATCAAAAGAGTCTAACAGATACCTGGAAGACAGCAGCTTCTGAAGCAATTGCGGCCGCAGCCGCTGGCATGGCGAGAGTCTTCCTCCACCTCTTCCCGTTGAAAATTGGAAACAACAGTAGGAACTCTCTTGATCCTTAGCATCATCTTTAGATCTCTTAATATATATATATACCTTTTTTTCAGCAATTACAAAGAAGATCCACCAACCCCAATCCGAAATGCCCAGATCCTTATCAATCTAGGCAATAATGAAACTGAATAATATAATTCTACAATATTTACAGAAGCGGGAAGCTAATAGTAGAAACAGCCGGCTGCGAGGAAGAGGAGGTCAGACGGATTACTGCCTTCAGAAGGCAAAGCGCCACGTCCACCATGTGGCAGATGGTTGCTGCCAAGCACACAACCCTTACTACATACAGACCGGACATGTATTACAAACCGATTTACTATAAGTATAGCCGTGTTGTCTACAACTTGTCCATCCCACCATGTACCAACTTATCTACTCTAACCTCCCCCAGCTTTTATAGATCCTATTCAGGACAAGCAGCTAGGAAATATCAGAAGTTTTAGCTACAATACTCACTCAGTTTATGTTTTAGCTACAATATGTTTTTGGCACTGAAGAAACAACACCATCCAAAAACAATGAATAAACATACCTAGAAAAATGGAGTTTATGTAAAAGGGTACAAGTATCACAGGAATCTCCAGACCATACCTTCACATTAGAAAATCCAACAAAATTGTCAAGCTCACCAAAATGTGCTTGCGCTGGTGCCTTAGAATGAAGAGGATCTGCAAGTTCTGGTGAAGGCAAACCATAGAATGATACCACAGCATCAACCCCTGGGACCAACACAGAACTTGCAATAGCAAGAGCACCCCCCATGCAGTAACCAGTTACACGCCAACCTATCGCCAGGAAGGAAAAAAAGAAAAAAATAAAACAAGCATAGAAAATTGAGAAGTTAGATCAGTAAATGCAAAAAGAAACAATTTATCAAACCAATTTTAAATAACTAATAACCACATAAATAACTTATTAAACCTGTTTAAAGAATGCTAGATGAAGTTGCTTTAATTCATTAGTGCTTGATTATGCATGTTAAATTTATGAGATTATGATAGAATTAAAATGAAAGACAAACTAATGTCTCAAATTGAAACTCTAGAAATTTTCAAAACAAAGTTAACATTTAATTTGAAAGTAAGTGCTGGCTGTGGTTTACAAATAACGGTACAAGTTTCACGAGGTGTATAACAAAGCTTTGAATTTTAAATTGACAGGAACTATAGGAACCTAAAACACGTATAAATTTGTTAAATGGATGAACTAAGAAGCACGTGATAAATCATGGAATAAAACACTAACAAATTCTCCACAAGCAATGGCTTTGTGAGAGGCAAAGTTGAGAGTTGACTCTACTTCTCTCAGTAAACACTTTCTCCTGCTTCATCAAAGTGGCATAAGTACCAAAAACCTACAAACTTGCTTAGTAAAAAGTACAAAGAACAACGTGTTCATCAAAAATGCCCAAATCTAGAATTCAGCAAAAAGTATTTAATTCTCTGGTTTTAACTTTTTCCACTCCATCCTCTTGATCAAATATATAAACAAACACAAAAATTTTAAGTATAACAAAATCGAAACAAGTTTCCAAATAAAGGTATAGCTTGCAGTTCTTTAAAGTATATATGAATAATTCTTTGAGCACGTAAAGGCAAGTCGTACACCCACATAAAGGGAGTGTTTCTTAGTTCAACCCGTCGTACTCACTTTTAGTTTTACTTTCCCTTCAGTTCGTTCTGTAATAAATAAGAGGAACTACCCGATTTTGCTTAAAAGGCGTTACACACCTTCTGAGAACCATTTGCCATAAGCCAGTTAACAAGGGCTCGGTGCCGATTTTTTTCGGTTCCAGAAATTTTTGGGTATTTAGTAAATGGAACCGTTTGAGTTCGGTTCGGTTCTATTCTGTTCCGTACTATAATTAAATTTTTTAACATTGAGAATAACACTACATAAATACACTTGAAAGTAAATACTAATACAAATAACAAAAAGTAGATACAAATACCAAGTTCAATATTAGCTTTTACAAATAAACGTAATATTTTAACTTACCAACTATATTTTAAAGACTACCAACTCACCAACTTCAAATTACAAGTTACCTCTTTCGAANAAAATTCGGTTCTTGGTCTAGAACCGAACCAAGCTTATCGGTTCTCGATTCGGTTCAATCTTTTTGCCCAGTCCTACAGTAAAATGAAGCTTAAATATCCTTCACTGCACCTTGCCAATCAAGACCATCCATCAAATGCTGAGCTTCAGCAACGTCCAATCTGAGCTTTCCTTGGTACAAACTATTAATTTACAAGAAAACACAGGAAAAGATAAAAGCATCAATTCTCATATGCCAACAAATTATGTCAACAGCATGTGTTAATATTTGCAAATATATCAAGGCAAATTTGCTTAGTCATTCATATGCAGTATCTTACTCTGGGGTCAACGCTTTATAGCCAGGTTCCAACTGAGAAATTTTCTAGGCATGGTTCTTGATCTCAAAATCAACACCCCACCATTCCTGAAGCACAACAATCCCAGGAGCATCTTCTTTCCCAATCACATAGGCATCAAATCCCTGCTTAATATTCCCCCTAGACAAAAAGAAAAAGATAACTTAGAAAAGAAACAAAAGCAAAATCACAATTTCAAACGCATGATTAGTATTAATTTGAATACAATTCAACTTTCCAGTCAAAAAGCGAACTTATCCTTTCTCTGCTCATCAAAATCTACAACTTTATAGTAGTCACACATAACAAAATATCATCTCTTCCCACCCAACTGAGGAAACAGGAAGGAAATGAAAAAATGGGGAAAACAACGATGAAGTGAATAAATACTTACGCGTAGAGGCACAGAAAAGCAAATGAGATTTTTAGTCTCACCATGTCATCTCTCTGAATCTGGATTTCCATGAAAGTTGTGATGTGACAGACCTACTACTCGAAATCTGTCAAAAAAAGTTGCACAAAATTTACCATAATTTGCATAACTAACTTTGATTAAATAGACTTTACAGTTTCGAATATGGATTTCAATGTGGAAGATCAATATCCAACCATTGAGCAAAAAAAGATCAGACTTTCTATTTTACAATTATTTAAGGACATCAAAGACTATGAAGCAACATAAAGTGTAATAGTATCCATGGTTTATCTCAATCCATATTAAAGATACTTACCTTGCCTTTTATTTAATTATTGATCTCTACTTTAGTTTCAACATGAAAACATGTCATTGTTCTTGAATCATCACCTCAACAAAAAAATCAAGCTTTTATACGAAAGAATTTTGTTTATATTTATACAACACATCCCCGATTTCATTAAATTTTCATAAACAGGCAATAACTCATCTTATTGTAAAGCCTAAATTTTGACTAAAACCTCAGCTTGCTCTAAGCAACCATCTTATTGTAAAGCCTAAATTGTTAAGAAAATATTAACTCATATATATCTATATGCAAACCTAATTCATTTTTCTTCATTCCAACACTCCGTAAATTGAAGGATTAACTCATTTAATAACTTGGAATTAGAAATGAACTTCAAACGGTTATCATGTATCATCGCAATGTTGCCTGAACAATTAATTCATCTATTAATTCTTATCAGAAAATAAAATTCAACTGAGGAATAAATTAACAAGACAATGGAGGAAATGTTGTGTCTTCATTTTACTCAAGGAAAACGGATACATTACACTACATTTTATACAAGAGGATGATATAACAAACTGAGTGCTACCATTATTTCCTAACAGACTGCTGTCTAACAGAATTGGAGAGAGAATGAAAGGAATATACAAATTCTAAAATGTTCATCTTCTAAACATTTCTCTAACCGGCATCTATGGTATATTCTTTACGTAATTTGCAATCTCTTCCTGCTTCTGGAATGCCTTGCTGGAGCTGTTGATATGGATCATTCATGTGGCACTCCTGCTGATGTGGTTTGTCCATGTGGCAATCCATTTGTCTTTCATTCTTCAACATCCCCCCCCGCAAGATGGCGATGGATGTCTTTCACTCCCATCTTGGCCAAGAGAATGAAAGCTATACGAGTTTAATGCCTTGGTCAGAATGTCAGCAACTTGTACATTGGTTCTCAGATGTTTTGTCACCACACTTCCTTATTGAATCTTATCTCAAATTAGATGATAGTCGAGTTCAATATGTTTGGTTCTCTAGTGAAACACAGGATTTGCGGCAATATGGAGTGTCGATTTACTGTCACAGTACAACAAGGCTGCTTGTGGGTGATCAACTGTTAAATCTTAGAGCAAAAACCGCAGCCATGTTAGCTCACAATAGGTGCTTGCCATACCTCTATATTCAGCCTCTGCAGAGGATCTGGAAACTGTATTTTACTTCTTCGACTTCCATGAAATTAAGGAGGATCCTAGGAATATGTAATATCCTGTAATGGACCTTCGAGTATCTGGGCACGAGCCCCAATCAAAGTCTCTATAGGCCTGAAGCTGCAACACTGATGAAGATGGATACATCAGTCCTTGACCTGGGCTTCTCTTGATATAGCGCAGCACTTTGTGTGCTGCATTAAGATGTGGAACTCTAGGCTTATCCATGTACTGACTTAAGAGCTGGAAGGCATAGGATAGATTAGGTCGAGTTACAGTTAGGTAGAGGAGCCTTCCAATCAGCCTTATGTACATGAATGGATCTAAGTAATTTCCCTTCATTTTTGAACAATTTGACATTCTAATCTAAGGAGATTCTTGATGGTGTAGCTCCAATCGTTCCCGAATCTGTCAATATGTCTAGAGCATACTTTCTTTGGCAAACCATGATTCCTTCTTTTGATCTTGCTATCTCAATTCCAAGGAAGTATTTCAATACTCCCAAATCTTTAATTCTGAATTCTTCATTCAATAGTTGTCTTAAGGAATTGATGGATTTTACATCACTACTTGCCATAATGATGTCATCCACATACACTAAGATGGCAGTGAATGAGTTTCCATGTGACTTAGTAAACAAGCTATAATCGGCCTTTGACTGCACAATCCCCAAATCTGTAATGAAAGTTGACAATTTTGAATACCATCGGCGTAAAGCTTGCTTCAAACCATATAGACTCTTGAGTAACTTGCACACCTTTGGTTGAGATGCATTCGAATAACCTGGAGGTAATTCCATATACATTTCCTCATATAACTCACCATGCAAAAAGGCGTTATTTATATCAAATTGGTGTAGGATCCATCCTTTTATAGCTGCCACTGCTAGTAGACTTCTGATAGTGGCCATTTTGGCTACCGGTGAAAAGGTTTCATGGTAATCTAGACCTTTCCGTTGAGTGTAACCTTTTGCTACTAGTCGTGCATTATATCTTTCTATTGATCCATCCAAGTTGTGCTTGATTTGGAACATCCATTTACACCCAATGGCTGACTTTCCTTGTAGCAAATCTGTGACTGTCCATGTGTGATTTTGTTCGAGTGCATTAATTTCGTTTTCCATAGCTTTGCACCAATCTGGGGATTCTAGCGCCTCACCGTAATTTTGTGGTTCTATGTGTGATGTGATAGATGTTATAAAAGCTTTGCTTGCTTATGGCAATTTATCAGAACTAATGGTTGCTTCTAGTTGAAAGGGGTCACCTGAGGTTGGATGAACCTTCTGACCTTTGAATTCTTGGAGTTAGGTGGATGAGCTGGCTTGTTGGCATATGAAATTCTACAAATATGAGGGTGTTTTTTTTATTCTGGTAGATCATCTTGGTAGGTGGTAGTTAGTATTAGGTGTTGTGTTTGTGTTTTCTGGTTGGCTTGAGGGACTTTGTGGTTCTGAATCAGGTTCATTTTCAGGGCTTGAGTATGCTGCTGATGGTGATAAAGTCAAGTCATATGGGATCATTTTGTTACTGTCATACGATTGGTCAGGCTGTAAACTTTGGAAATCAACTGAATGGTGTTCATTTGTATTTGAAGTTTGGATAAAAGGTTGGACAAAAGGGACAAAAGGCAGGCCTGATGAATCAGGCATTCCCTTGGTATTTGGCTGATCAATATTCTTGTAAGGAAAAATATTTTCATGGAATGTAACATTCCTTAAGACAAAAACTTTCTCAGTTTCTAAATCAAGTAGCTTGTATCCTTTCATTCCAAATGGATAACCCAAAAATGCACATTGTCTAGCCCTTGGATCAAACTTATACCTCCCCTGAGCCAAGGTTGTTGCAAAAGCTAAACATCCAAAAACCTTGAGATGGGAATACTTTGGCTTGATTTGAAAGAGGAGTTCAAAAGGTGTTTTATGATTTAAGAGAGATGAGGGAGTCCTATTTATTAGATAGACTGCTGTTAATACACAATCATTCCAATATTTTGTGGGGATTCCACTTTGAAATTTTAATGACCTTGCCACATTGAGAATGTGTTGGTGCTTCCTTTCTACAACTGAATTTTGTTGAGGATTTTCAACGCATGATTTTTGATGTATGATGCCTTTCTCATGAAAAAATGTTTTCATATTGAACTCTCTACAATTGTCACTCCTGATTATTTTGATTTTGGTTTCAAATTGGTTTTCAATCATGCTACAAAAACCATGTAAAGCAGTGCTAGCATCAAACTTATTTTTCAAAATATAGACCCAAGTACATTTGCTATAATCTTCCACTATTGTTAGGAAGTATCTTGAGCCATCATAGGCAGCCATACTACATGGTCCCCAAAGATCACAGTGAACTAGATCAAAACATTTTTCTGATTGATGTTGACTGATAAGAAAAGGTGGTTTATGCATTTTGGCTAAGGGGCAAATCATGCAAGGTAAGGAGGTTTTACTATTGCCTAAGGACTCAAGAGCAGCAGATAAAGGATTTCCTAATCTATAACGACAGAGGTCAAATTCTTCAGTTTTTAATGCAGCAGCTGTTGTGGTGGTTCTAGTAGTCAAGATATCAGAGAAGGCTGATAGTGAGGTTCCCTTTTGTTGTAGGTAATACAAGCCATATTTCACTTCACCCATTCCAATCGTTCTCCAGGTCAAATGGTCCTGAATGAAACATGTTTCAGATAAGAAAATAAGACAGCAGTTCAAAGAAGCAGCCAATTTTCTAGCAGAGATTTAGTTAAAAAAGAAGATGGAACACAGAGTGTATCATGTAGAATTAGTGTTTCAGAAATTTTTACTGTCACTTTATGAGTGACAGCAACACTATTGCCATCTAGGAGTGTGACAGAGTAGTTAACTTATGCTGAGATATCAGTGAGTAAAGTGATGTCATAGACCATATGATCTGTGGCACCTGTGTCAAGAATCCAGGGTGTGTTTTCTGGGAATTTTGATGCAAAAGCAGAAAGACATAGAGATATACCAGATATAGTAGGCATTTGAACCTCAGTGGTGCAAGGATAAATGTTAGACCAAACTTGGTTTGCTGAATGAACTGTGGTTGAGGTGTTCTGTTTACTGAGAAGTATCATCAGCTGTTTGTACTGTTCCTGTGTGATGGGTGATTGAGCTCTTCCAGCAATCTTAATGTGTTTGTGCTCTTGCATAGGCAGTATCCTGATGAGCTGAAGACCCAATGAATTTTCCTTTGTTGTACGGCTTGTTCCCAGGAAGATATCCATGAACTTAGAAGCACTTGTCTATGTTGTGACCAGGCACATTACAATAGGAGCACAATGGCTTGTTAGCTTTAAGGCATCTCTCCAATGAATGACCAGCAATCTTACAGTGAGTGCAAAAATATCTGGCATTTCGATTAGCTGTGTACTGATTTCCATTTCGAGTTCCTCTTCCCATCATTGCCATTGATTCGGTAGCAAGAGGATCCATTGAAATCTGCCTTCTCTTCTCTTCTTGTTGTATGATAGAGTATACTTCATTTAAACCCAGAAGTGGCTTAATGAGGAGGATTTGAGCTTTAATATCTTTGTAGGATTCATTAAGTCCCATAAGGAACCGAATCACCCAATCTCTTTGTTGGTTATCAATAACATTACGAAGTCCTCCACAAGTACAATTGGGTATGGATTCATAATTCATCAAATCATCAAGAAGAGCTTTGTACTTCGAAAAATAAACACTCACATCATCTTGGTTTTACATCAAGGTACTAATGGCTTGTTTGACCTCATAGACATGTGTTCAAGCTCTAGCCAGAGCTCCTTAGTGGTGTCTGCATATAGTGTGCTGGTTTTTACTTCAACACACATGGTGTTTTGCAGCCATGCGATAACAAGATCATTGCAACGAAGCCAATGTTCCATCAAAACATCATTAGGATCTGTTGGTTCAGCTAAGCTTCCATCAATAAAGCCAAGTTTATTTTTAATTCTAAGTGCCTTTTTCATGGATCTAGCCCAGGCATAATAGTTAGTGCTATCCAAAACGTGAGTAACTAGTATGGTTCCAGAACTATCGTTCCCTCCAATATAATATGAGTTGTGAAGATAAGTAGGATCATAATGGTTTGGTATGGGGGCATTTTCCTGTGGATTCAGATTTTGAGGTGCAGCATTTGGATTCTCATGTGTAGCAGATTATAACATCCGTGCTGTGTTCGTCGGCCATTGTTAAAATTGCTTTGATACCATATCAGAAAATGAAATTCAACTTAGGAATAAATAAACAGGACAATGGAGGAAATGTTGTGTCTTCATTTTACTCTAGGCAAACGGATACATTACACTACATTTTATACAAGAGGGTGATATAACAAACTGAGTGCTACTATTATTTCCTAACAGACTGCTGTCTAACAGAATTAGAGAGAGAATGAAAGGAATATACAAATTCTAGAATGTTCATCTTCTACACATTTCTCTAACCGTCATCTATGGTATATTCTTTACGTAATTTGCAATCTCTTCCTGCTTCTGGAATGCCTTGCTGGAGCTATTGATATGGATCATTCATGTGGCACTCCTGCTGATGTGGTTTGTCCATGTGGCAATCCATTTCTTTCATTCTTCAACAATTCTCTTCCACTTCATTTCAAGTTAACACCCCAAACGAAGAACAACGACAAGAAAAAAAAATCTGCGCATACTTTCGAAAATTCAAGCTCCAAGAAACTTGATCGAACTATCAAACACAAATTAAAAAAAAAATGTAAGAAAGTAGAGTATAGTGGATTACCGACGATGGATCTCTTCTTGGAACCGAAGTGCAGGACCAAAGAGCAGGTACTGAGAGAAGATTGCACGAACTATACATTTTAATCCAAATGGTACACTTTAAACTCGATCAAAAATCAGATTTCACATTTCAAGGCTACGGCGAAGAGAATTTTGGGGTTTCTGAGAAGTTTTTGAACGGTAGAATTTTGCTTCCGCAGTTCCAGGCAACGAATAGGGCCAATAACAAGTAGTGGAAGAGGAAACAGAGAGAAACTCAACAGTGCACGGAGAGAATTTTGGGATTTCTGAGGAATTTTTGAACGGCGTATTGAGTGGCGGAGCGCGGAGAGCAAGATGGAACTTTTTTTTTTTTTTTTTTAGTCTGTTTGGGTCTGTCTTACCCTCTCACTTTCACAATTTTCCCAAAATATCGATAAATTATTTCAACGGTCACTGAACTTTACGTAATGTCACTTTTCACTAACTGCACTTTAAATTGCATCACATCACTCACTGAACTTAGTAAAGTTGCACTTCATCCATCACCGAGCTAATTCCGTAACTTTAAGTTGCATCACATCACTCATTGAACTTAGTAAAGTTGCACTCCATCCATCACCGGGCCACGTGGATGACAGTTTGTACACGTAACCGTTAAATTAATCCAGCTGACCGAGTTAATTGTTTCAACGGTCACTGAACTTTATAAAGTGTCACGTTTCACTAATTGAATTTTAAGTTGCATCCCATCACTCACTGAATTTAGTAAATTTGCACTACATCCATCACCGGGCTAATTCCATCAAAATCGGTTGCTTGTGTGGATAGCGGTTTGCACACGTAGCCGTTAAATTACTCCAGCACACATAAATTGTGACATACATGCACGTCAAAATTGCGATTTCAAATCATTTTTAGCATTTTCATTTAAGTAAATCTTTTGTAAACTTTGGAAAATCGACATTATCTGAAAAAATTCCTCTTGCAATTAAATCAGGTCAATCGTATTATACCTAAATGCTCGTCTATAAAAATCAATCCAAGATGATAAGTACTGAAAATAAGCTACTAGAAATTCACTTATAATTTCAGCATCTAAAAAAGTAACTTTCAACTAAGAATCATGAAGTTCCAAATGTTCATATTTGTACTTTTTGCTCTTTTATCAGGTATTTTATTTTTCATTTTTGCCTATCTTAATTTGCCGTTAGGTCCTTTTAATTGTTGATTTCCTGAAGATCAAAGTTTTGACTAACATTTTTTATTGCCTTTTANTTTTTTTTTTGCAATGGGAACAAATTCTAGATACAATGGTAAAAAAAAATTTCACTTTTATCGACAACTTCCATGCAAAACAAAGTCAAACGAATGATATTTGGTATGATAAATTTTTTTTTTTTCAAACTTTTTTTTTTTTACAATTGGAACAAATTTTAGACCCAATGGTAGAAAAAATTATCACTTTAATGGACAAATTCCATAAAAAAACGAAGCCAAATGGACACAAAACTTTCAACATTTTCCATAAAAAATTATACCAATCAAACACAATTAATTACAATTCACAGTAAAACATTTTCTAGGAAAATCAATTCCCTGTGAAATATTTTTTTTCCACCCATTTTCCACCATTGCAATCAAACGCATCCTAATTTTCCCAAAATATCGATAAATTGTTTCAACGGTCACTGAACTTTAAGTTGCATCACATCACTCACTGAACTTAGTAAAATTACACTTCATCCATCACCGGGCTAATTCCGTTAAAATCGGTTGCTTACGTGGATGACGGTTTGCACACGTGGCCGTTAAATTAATCCAGCTAACCGAGTTAATTGTTGCAACGGTCACTGAACTTTACAAAGTGTCACGTTTCACTAATTGAACTTTAAGTTGCATCTCATCACTCACTGAACTTAGTAAATTTGCACTTCATCCATCACCGGGCTAATTCCGTCAAAATCGGTTGCCTGCGTGGATAGCGGTTTGCACACGTGGCCGTTAAATTACTCCAGCACACATAAATTGTGACATACATGCACGTCAAAATTGCGATTTCAAATCATTTTTAGCATTTTCATGTAAGTAAATCTTTTGTAAACTTTGGAAAATCGACATTATCTGAAAAAATTCCTCTTGCAATTAAATCAGGTCAATCGTATTATACCTAAATGCTCGTCTATAAAAATCAATCCAAGATGATAAGTACTGAAAATAAGCTACTAGAAATTCACTTATAATTTCAGCATCTAAAAAAGTAACTTTCAACTAAGAATCATGAAGTTCCAAATGTTCATATTTGTACTTTTTGCTCTTTTATCAGGTATTTTATTTTTCATTTTTGCCTATCTTAATTTGCCGTTAGGTCCTTTTAATTGTTCATTTCCTGAAGATCAAAGTTTTGACTAATATTTTTTATTGCCTTTTAATTGTAGTTGGAATGATGCAAAGATCGTGCTACCAGATACATCCTGAAATTCTCTGTGAAAATTGATAAATGTTCAGCCTTTTGCAAAAATAAATTTGAAACTTCGACCACTGTGCAATGTATTGAAAATATAGGATTTGATGGTCCTTTTTGTGTTTGCAATTTATGCAAATAATCTCAATTATTTCCTCTTGTAGTGATATTGTTGCAAATAATAAAATATTAATTCCGATATAGTTTATTCAATGAGACAAACATTCTTTTTTCTTTTTTCTTTTTATAATTTCTTGTTTTAATTTTCATGCATGAATCAAGATTTTCAAGATGAATGAGTTTTATCAAGCAAGGAAAATTTGGCCAAGGGCATTATAATTATTTTATTAAAAATTTATTTATTTTTAACCATTAAATAGACGATTTTGTGAACTATGGCTCATGTTAGAAGGTTGAAGACCGATATTTATAGTATTTAAAAGTTTAAGAGTTTCATCCTTAATTTTTCCTTCGATGTCATTAGTAAAGTTATTAATACATTTAAATAGTATAAGTAGAGAAATTTGGTGGAAATGGTCTCCGAACTTTGTTTCGACATCCTTAACCTATGTTTCTGGTGGGTAATAGCATAAATGTATCATGATAGTCGTATCAATCAAATTTTCTAGAAAGGAAGCAAATTTAGATTGTTGTGCTTTAAATATATGTAGTTGCTCTGTGATGTGAGAAACTTGAATAAAACTAAGATAAATAAATAAAAATGACGTATGTGACTTCAAGATATTCAACAAATTTTATTGTGCTTTTATTTAATACAATATAATAATAAAAATAATATATGAATTGAGTGTTGTTTATTTTCTTTATCAAATGGTAACAAAATGATAAATTAAAATATGAAGAATACAATTGGAGATGTAATATTCTCATTTAATAAATGAATTGTTCAATTAATTAAATATATTTGAGGGTCAAGTTCGTGACATAAGGTTGTTTTCCATTTTTAATCTATAATTATAAATAGAAAGTTAAATTATTAAATAGTGTAATTAAATAAAATAAACTAGTAATTTTATTTAACATGATAGTTAATTAAATATTAGCTCAAAAATTAAGTTATTTCATATTAGTTTATAAAATATCTAATACAATTTACACATATTATCAGTTTGATCAATAAATTTACATTAAAATGAACTAGTTAGTTTCTTTTAACTTTTTGTTTAAAGAAGAAGAAGAAGAAGAAAAGGTACGAGACCCATAACCCATTTGCACCATTTTCAAATGTTAGGGACATAACTACAATTTTAACTAATTAAAAATAAATGATTACTAGTCTTTTTCATTAAAAAAATGAACAATTGCTCAAAGACGTCTATGCCATATTTTAATAATTTTCTGTATTAAAATAAAATGTACTTAATTATTCAATTAATTTTTTTAAACTTAAGTATTTGTACAAAATTAAGTATACAAAATTACATGCAACCATTATCACATTATTTACTCAAGTTTTTATCTTTCATTTAAAGGTATAAAAATAATTAGTAACAAATAACTTGAAAATTTTAATTGTCTCAAAAAAAAAAAATTATACTTTAAAATTTTTAAAATAATTTTTAAGTAATGACCATCTGGTCCAACCACCAGTTCACCAGTCCGACCAATAATCCGATGACTCAGTACCTTGATCGAGTCAATGTCCGGATAAGATCTAATAACGATGGATCGAAGCTCCCATTTGTGTTTGCAATTGGTGCCACCAATAATCTCAACTATTTCAATATGTGGTGAAATTATTGTAATAATAGAATCTTTAGTTTTTGGACCAACTCCTTGGTTCAATCTGTTTTGCCTATTTGTTATGTTGTATAATTCAATTTACTTAAGAGAAAAATATTCGGAGTTCAATATTTTCATTTTATTGTGATGTTTTTTCTAATAACCTCAACTATCTCCACATGTGGTGAAATTATTGTAAATAAAATCTTGATTCTTAAGTTTTTGGACAGATTCTATGGTTCAATCTGTGTTTGCCTATTTCTTATGTTGTTTTTTAATATTTGAATCTACTTAAGATAATAATATTTGGAGTTCAATATTTTCAATATATTATAATATCATTTCTATGGAAAGGATCTTAGTCCAAAAATTTCACATGTTGTCTCGACTTGCAATATATGTTAATTTTATGAAAAATATGCAGCATTGCTCCCACTCCAACTTTCCTTCCTGTTGAGCTAAGGAGGGCAAACCAACGAAGAGAAGAGGGAAGAGGGAAATCAATTTATTCAAATTGAGAATTCAATTTACAGAAATAGAAAGAGGGCTGAATATATAGACGAGGGAAGCTAACTATCAACAGAATAAATAAAGCAAAAAGACTGAAATGCCCCTGGCGAAGTAAAAGACTGAAATGCCCCTTATTATCTCAACACTCCCCCTCAAGATGGCGAGTGTAGATTGAACACTCCCATCTTGTTAAGAAGCAAAGCAAGTCGTGCTCCAGTTAAAACTTTAGTCAGCAGATCAGCTAATTGCAACTGAGAAATCGTGTACAGCATTTTAACCTTATTGGCTTGGACTTTATCTTGCACCAAATGACAATCTATCTCGATGTGCTTGGTTCTTTCGTGGAAAGTGGGGTTGCTGGCAATGTGAATGGCAGACTGATT